TGCACCACTACATTTATATTTGCATTCAGAAATTTTCAAAAGACAGTTACATAGTGTTGAAAAGTTTAAAAGGAAATAGCCAAAATAGGCAATCCCCACAAGGACCACAAGTTTCTATTTACATAGAGAAGCAAAATAAACTCATGAAACTTGTGAACACTTAAAAAATTTATTGGTTGTGCCAAAGTTGACAAAAATAAAACACGAGGTTCTGTTCAAGAAAAGGGAAATATATTTATGTTCTCCAAAAGTACTCTCCCTACCTATGATATGTATTAATAGTTTTAGTTCAATTTTAGACAGAACCTTTAAACAGAAAGTCAACTTATGGCTCAAGCCAGGAATCAGAATTGAAGAAAAAGACAAGAATGAACAGTAAACAGGAAAAGATGAAAGACATTACAAAAGGCATTACTACATTCCTTAGGAAATCTCAGATGGGAGAAAATACTTATAATTTATATTATTTGCAAGTGTAAGTATCTTATTTTATCAAAGTTTTCTTATTATTAGAAACCATTCAAATTATCACAAGAAATATCGGAGAAAATGTCAATACATGAGGCAGAATAAAAAGTAAACATCCTTATCTAAAAACTTGCCTCTAATTAATGAGCAGAGTCTTCTGAGATTAATTTTTAAAAAACAAATTTTACAGAACAGAATATTATAAGGAAATTGGCCTGGCTGGAAGACAATGAAGGCATCTCTAATAAAGTAATCACTCTCTGTCCAGCAGTATTTGAATGTCTGGTTTGAGCTTAAAAACAGAGCATTCATAACATGGGCTGAAATTAGTAGGGTTACTTGTTTAGTAGTCACCTGTAGAAAATATTTCCAGTTTTAATACAGGGCTACTTAAACATCTATATAAAGACTAAGAGAATCTTATCTAGCTAGAACTGTAGAGACCACACAACTGACCCCCTCTATTTCACGGCCAAGTAAGTTGGAGCACAGAAAAATGAAATGCTCTCTTTAAGGTCGGTCACAGAGCTGGTTAGTGGCAGAACCAGGACCAGAACCCTCATCTACCAATACCTAGACTGGGACTTCTCCCACAGTATCATAATATCTTTTACTAGGAAATAGAAAAGACAGGAAACTTTTTGCTGAATTCACAAGACCATAAAGACAGGACATTCATAATTATTTGTTATCTTGGTGGATTAAGAATATCTGTAATAATAATAAACACATAGACTTAAAAATAAACAAAAGACTTCTTTATTCAGGCCATTGGGTATGTTAGAAATAACAGCAGAGGGGTTGGCGTCTGCTCCTGGCACATAGCATGAGAATCTAAATGGGTAAAAGGGTAATTTTAGTAGATGAACAGTCACAGTGCTAGAGGTCTGGGAATCAAGTCAAAAGAAAGATCAGGAAACTTTATGTGGCAAGTAGATTCCAGGTGGGGAAAAAGCAGCCTGGATGGCCATCTGTTGCCCAGCTAAAACAGGCAAAGCCCTGGAATGCTCTACAACAAAAGTCTTATGAGAAGACATGTCATTTCTCCATAATCTCTCATAAGCATTCTTTCTTTTCCCTGGGGTTTCATTCGATCTCTTCTTATGTTTGGTATCTTTTGAAAATTCTTTGTTATCCTCTCTTTTATTTTTAAAACTTTGCTGAAGCCATGGGGGAAACACATTAGGTGGGAATGGTTGTCTTTAGAGAGCTGTTAAAAATCACATCAAATGTGAGGATATTAAATAGCCTGGCCTCTCAGGGACACCAGGTGGCAATTCAACACCTATTCACTATTGGTGCCAGGTATGATCACCCCTGTCATCAGAACAGGATCTCTGACAAAAGTGTGTGAACAATAGGCAAGGGCTGTACTTGTGCCCTTCACCCAGAAACTGCCATTATTAATATACACTTCTTTACAGGAAACATAAGGGCATAAAAATAGGAGTCGCAACTGTGTCCATTTAAAAAATATTTGATGACTTAGAGATGTTGCATGAAAATAGTTTATACACAATTCCTTTATTTCCATCATTTATAAAATGTTGTTTTTAAGTAAATCATATAATTTGGGTTATTAGCCTTAAATGATAAAAAAATGAAAGAATCAATGAAATCCAGGAAATGGATACATAAAGTGAAAATCCAATTCCAAGGATTGTGACTGTTCAGATCAGCTTTTATCACGGTAAAGCTACTTTTTAAAAACATCACTTTAAGCATTCATGTAGTGAAAAACTACATGTTTATACAAAAAGAGATGACAACCTTTTGTACTCACTGTTCCCTAGAACAGCAGAGTGCATCGGAGCATGAACTCTGCCAGAGTGCTGTGTCCCAATCCTGGCATCCAGAGCGTGTAAATGTGGGCAAGTGATCTCTCCTGTACCTTAGTACCCTATGTAAAATGTGCCTACTTCACAAGGTTGTTGTGGGAATTAAAGGAATTAGTATTTGTGAAGTGCTAAAACAATGCCTGGCACAACAAGAGCACTGACTACTGGCGTTATCTACTTTGGAGTATATTATCATTGCTATCTATGAATGTGAAGCAAGCTTAAGCAATAAATCATTAGTTGTATTTCTGCAGCACGGTACAGGGATCTAAAACATTTTTGTCAGAGGAAGTTTCTTTACATTTCTTCAGACTTTTGATATCATTGGATGGAAGGGGAAAAAAGTGCGTGGGCTGTATCTGAGGAGGAGAGAAGGGTCGCTGCTCTTGATACAGCAAGAACATAGGAAAGCGTGAAGCCACGGCAGATGACCTGGGAACTCATTGCCACACAGCAGGCTTTGACAAAGGATTTGCTTAGAGCTGAGCTTTCTATCGTTCTTTTTATCAAGTGCAAGACACTGGCACTCAACAAATATTTGAGGAATGAAAGAATAAAAATGATGAGTAAGACATATATTTGTAATCCAGTCAAGTTTTATAAGGTTAGGGTGTTAGGATCACTGGAATCTACACAAATACGGTAGTATCTTTATTGTCATTCTGAAATAAACTG